CTAGCAATACAAGTGATTACACGTCTGGAAAACATGACTTAAAAGGAAAGGCTGAAAGAACCAGGATTATTTATTCTTGAGAAAAAGGAATGGAGTGGAAGGAAAGGGGTTTGACAGCAATCTTCAAATACCTGAAGTGAAGCTATACAAAAGATGGAGATAGCTTTTCCTAAAATTCAACCTAAGTTTCCCTTATTACAGTTTAAGTCTGTTGCTCCTAGTCTTGTCCCCTGCCAGAGAAAATAGTCTCTCTCACTATGTAGGTGGTTAAGCACTTGTGGTTATGACTAAGAGAGGTTGTTGAATTGCCATCTGAGGAAGTCTTTAAGAGAAAGTTAGACACATACTTGACTGGAATGGTTTAGTTAGGGATAATCCAACCTCGAGCAGAGGGCTGGATTAGACCAGTGTTTCTCAACCCCTGGGCTGCAACCCAAAAGTGGGTCGCAAGAATATTTCAAAGGGTCACAAGCTGTGGCAGGGCAGAGGGGTGGTGGGAAGGCACCTGCCCCTGCCAGTGGAGGAAGGGAGTAGAGAGAGTTGTATGGCTGAGTAAGTGGCATCAGGCTGCTGCCCATGGTGGGGGGGCCACAACCAGGCTGCCTGGCTGGTTGCAGCAGCCCCAGCCCAGGGCAAAGGGAGGTGCCACAGGCCTCTTCTTCCTCTAGCCCATGCTGGAACTAGACTTGCTCCACTGCCGCCTGCATGAGCCAGAGCTACTGCAGCCACGATGCTCTGGCCTGAGAGGGACAGGGGCAGCTGGGGGCCTCTCCAGTGGGAGAGGGGGAAGCAGGGGGCTATGGGTCAGAGACACCAGCATGGCCTGGGGGGTCAGGCACCAGCAGGGTCAAGGGTGTGTGGGTTGGGACAGGGCATCGATCTTTGCAAATGGGTCCTGGTAGGAAAAAGGTTCAGAACCGCTGGACTAGATGGACTTCTTGAGGTTTCTTCCAGCCCCACTTTTCTATGATTCTAAATTGTGTCCCAGTTGAACAAGTCCAATTTGGTCAGAAGTGATTGATACTTTGACATGCTTTTGTAAGCTGGCTAAGTAATATGAATTTTGACCAAGGATATTCACCTTTTTTTTTTTTTTTTTTTTTTTAAATAAAGTCCTTGTCCTTTGCTTAGTCTCTGTTTAGGCATCTCCTGGAGGATGGTTGGAACTTAAATCCCAGGTGTCAGGAGCTTATAAAAATGTTTATGAGAAATGAAGGAAAGAAGGTAATGCCTGTCTGCCACTTTTCACTCAGGTTTCCAAGATATGAACCATTCTCCTGATAAATTCTTGAAAGATCTGGTATTAGGCAGAACCAGAATACCATAGCAGTCATAGTACTGTCAACTGAGGAGGAGACTGTTTTCTGGAGAGATTCGATGTTTGCCTCCTGTATGTCTTTCTGCTCACCTTCCTGGCTGGTCTTACTAGATGCCTGCTGGATAAAATAGGGCTCCTTAAATCTTCAAAAGGAAAAATGACCTCGATTTTTATATCAGGGAAAGAAAGGCTGTATTCTCCGTGGGATCTAAAAGGCCACTCTGCATGATGTTTTGGTATGGAGATACAGGGTATGTATCTCCATACAGACTGAAGTACAGAAAGTTTTGATTTGTAAGCTGTTGTTTGCTGAAGATTCTGCACTGCCCACTATTGTTGGAGCCCGCCTGGCTTCCCCTGGGTCCTACTGCCCTTGGTTCCTGCATTTTTGACAGGAACCAAGGGCAGAGAAATATTAATTTTCTACATTTTTTTAGGGGCCCCACAGGCTGTATTTTGCCCACCCCTAGCACAGCATCAGGTATCATAAGCATGCCAAGTAAATGAATGTAAAACAACAACAAACAGACTTAAGGCAAAAGTCAAAGTTTATTATGCTTGTGTCATCAACATCCTTTTGTACAGCCATGAATCCTAGACTACATATGCAAAAAAAAGAACCTTAACAACTTCCACTTACATCACCTTTGTCACATTCTAGGAACTGCCTGGCAGGACAAAAGTGCCTACACTAAGGTTTGGAATGTACGAATTTTCCAAACACTTATTCTCTCTCAGGCAGCGTCAGCTTTGATGGGGTGGTCATATGCAGAGAATGGATGATGGCCATATACCCAAGGATCTGTTGTATGGAGAACTCATATAGGAAGACAACCACCCAGGCATCCTTATCTCTGTTTCAAAGATGTTCACAAGAGAGATTAGGGCAATGAACACTGAACCAATGAGAGAAAATTGCTGAGGATGAAAGCCCTGGGAAATAGTCTATTAAGTGTGGAATGAAGGTTTTTGAAGAAAGAAGAGCCCAATATGCAGAGGAAAGAAGAATTCCATACCTCATTCAGGACTGTAAGATACAAACTTCATAGATTTATAGAAGTTTAGGGCTGGAAGGGACCTTGTGAGATCACTGGGTCCAGCCCCCCTGCTCTAGTAAGGAAAGACTGCTGAGGTCAAATAACCCCAGCAAGGTGTGTCATGTGTGATAGAAGAAAGGACTGTCATTCAAGTATTGAGCTCTACAGCCGCACTCACAAATGTTAAACAAGCTGATGCCTTAACAAAACGGAATTTTCTCACAAGACAGACAGATGCCTGTTCCTACCATCTATGTGAAATATTCTCTGGAAGTGTCCGTCTTTTCTTACGATAACAGTCTCCCATGTTCCTGTTAAAGAAGATGGGCTCATAAGATGGTTACTGAGCTCAGTACTTTGTTGACTTATCCTTGGGTTCCTCCTCCTCAGCTTTGAAGTGCAACTCTTCCATTGATGGAGCTGATCTTTCTGACAGCTGAAGGATTCTAGAAGGCCTGCAACAATAGCAAAGCTAGGCAATCATGATTCATGATGGTCCAGTGCCATTAAAGTTTTCTTGTACTATAAAATGCAGAGCTTTGGCATCTGTGGAGGAGGGTCTAATGAGTGCCTTATTGCTTTGGCAACTTTAGAAGACTGCACCGAGATCACAAGACGACCAATCAGTTCTAAGGCTAGGCCTTTGATCCTGGAATTCTCATGTTGCTTGAGACCAAGAGAGAGATGTGCATCTAGTTCATTTAAAAGCAACATTATGTCCTCCCTGAGGACTGAGCACAAGATGGCAGGGAAGCCCTGCTGACTCAGTCCCACTTCTTGGCTACATTCTCAATGCTAATTAAAGAGCAAGGGGCCACACAGGTCATCTTCTGCTCTGGGAAGTAAAACATGGAGTAGCTTTAACAAAGCCTCATGGAGCAGTTAAACAGGACCCTAGGACTTCAGGATCCTTACCAGGGTGCTGTAAAGAGAAAGAGTGGTTTGGATACTCCTGCTGTTTATACCCTCTCAGATACTGGACACCTAGGTATGATACATAGGTATGCTCCAAGACGCTACTAAAAAGATTCTGGATTGAACAGACATGTACTAGAAACAGCGCATGTGTGGAGGAAAAAAAAAACAAAACAAAAACCAATTATAGGCTTTTGCACGCTGGAAATATTGGAATTTATCCCTAAAGCATCTTGCAATGTTTATCTATTTTCCACTGTTTTTAATAAGGAAGTATTTTGATAAAGGACTAACAGCAAAGGGTTTACTGATAGTCTCAATGGATTAATTTGCCCTAGGAAGAATTTACTGTTCTGCAAATCTGTCTGCCTGTAATCTTTTCTTTCTATTCTATACATGCAGTTAGAACAGAATAGGTGCATTTTAAAAACCGTAAGTCAAGTCTAAGATATAAAACACTGTAGTGAATGCTTGAGTCAACTACTTGTACTGCATTTATTTTGCTGTGTTGTATGAAGATCAAGAGGATGGATTTAGATAGCAAAACAGCAATTTAAAGATAATCAAACCAAGCCACATGAAAAAATAAAAGCAGAGTTTTAATAACGGCTCCCATATTCTCCCACATACATTGAGAATTTAAAGAATTCTAAATAAGGCCAATACTGAATGTTTTTGAAAATCCTACTACATAGTAGCAATCTGCCCCTGGCCTTAACCACAGAATTATTATTTTTGTCCTACACAAAGAATAAAGTTACTTAGCTTTTTATTTATGGATAAATTCTTACATATAGATAGATATGCTATTGATCAACCACTTCCATAAGAACGTGATTACGGGGACTAAAGAAGAACATACATTAGTTGCTCAAAGTTCCTTAGCAGGAAGATTTTACTGGTTTGTTACCCATGCCCATCACTGCCTGCTTTTTTTTCCTCTAGAAACCAAAATAATCAAAAAACTTACTGAAATATTCATTTGAACAACATATTTATTGAATGTAATCTTTGGATAAATAATAAGACAGGGATGAAAGCAATCACTTATAGCTTCTATGGGCTTAAAAATATTTTTTTCCAACCACCTCAAATATCTACACACTTGTCACATATGTGTGTATGTGCATGGCTAGCATTAATTCATGCAATCAGATACGCTTCTCACTTGCTATTAATTAATTCTTAACATTAATTCTTATTCTCACTTGCTATTAATTAATTCTTAACATTAAAGTGTGAGTAGCGCCAAACATCCCAGGTAATAAAACTTGGAACCTTTCAAAGCTAACATCTATACACTTATTAAAAGGTAAAAACTTCTGGCTATTCAATGGGGTACAATGTTTCCCTTTATCCCTAAACTCTCTCAAGACTTCAAACCTTAAAAATTCAGTATTACGATGGAAATACAATTTTGAATAATTTTACATATATACATTTATTAGAACTCCCTTTCTCCTCTCTTCAATGATTAGATTCATTATGGTAAATTGTATTAAGGGAGTGGAATAAAAACAGCGTTGCCATTTTTGTTTAAAAAAACTTGGATATTTTAGAATTATTTCTCAGTAGGAAAGCCTCTTGGGCCACTCTTTGAGAAGTTACAAATGGCTTTGCCACTAGTTCAGTCCTAAACTCTCTGGAGTTTATGTACATGCATTCACAGTGTCTGTTTGCTTGTGAACGCTACTATGACCTTTTAAGAAAATAACTGTAAATAGACTCACCAGGAAAATGAGGTATGATTTCCCCATCTAGTTTGTAAGCAACACCCACTTTGATTTCTGGAAATATGTCCAAGATATCCAATTTGGTAAGAGCCAACCTATTAAAAAAAAACATAACTGCTTTGTTAATACTATATGTATACTAAACTAAATTTCAGCTATCTTATAACATGAAAAATTAAGATCGAAAATTGGCTAGAATTTTTCTAAACTTTTAATAACCACATTTCTGTTTTAAAAGAAGGCTATTCAATTTGAAATAGGGTCGGACTAGATAATCTGCTCAGGTCCCTTCCGACCCTAGAAACTATGAAACAGGGCCACTGTTAACCCAGTACAAAACCTACTAAAGGCAATAAGCAGCTCTGGACTTGGCTCCATATGAAAAAGGACATAAGCTAAGAAACAGTATTTCTATTATTAAATAAAGGGACTGGTCTGGGGCATTAAGCGGACAATTCCAATTGCTTATTCTACTTTGTCTGGAATGATTTGAACAACTATATTAACATCCAATAGTAAGCAAGAATAACTACATTAAAAAATTGCAAGCATCTCTATTCCCTTACAGCAGCCAACAAGTGTCCAGGCAGATGTTAGTCTCTAAGGTACCACCCTCACCTCACTGGTTTAGAGAGGCAAGAACTTTTACAGGCAACAACCTACTCTGTCAGGTGCTATGAATGGATACCCTGGCCCCCCATGGGCAGATGGGAAGTGCAGATGGTACGGCAAATCACATATAACACAACACAACACATTTTTCTCCAGTTAGAGATGCTTTACTAATATACTAGGGGGCTAGCACAAGTTATTTAAATTAAAAAAACAAAGCAAAAACCAATATAATTAATGGAATGTGCACATATTTGCTAGGGTATATATAAGGGTTAAAAAGCACAACGTACTAGGCAAAAAATAGTCAAAAGACACTGCATCTTTAGTCATGTAGTTATTATAGTTAAATACGTTTCTTATTCAGAATCTAGCCTTCTTGAGTGTCCTGACAGTGCCTCCAATACTTCATGGTCAGTCATTCCTGCATCTGAGTTGATATTACCACACCTGAGTGTGGGTGGAGCAGGAATCAGAGGGGTGCAACTGCACCACTGCACTCCCGCTGGATCCATCCATCTACTCTGCTGTACCTTCTTCCCCTAAGAAGTGTCAATATTGCTTACGTTTGATTAAATATTTTTGTACTTTACATGCATTAGCTCACAATTTATGAGTTTTATGCTCTAGGTCTATAAAGCTTAGTGTAGCTGAGGTATGATTAAGTAATACAGGTTTCCCTAGCCAACTGCAGGGGTTAAGTTCCTGAAAGTTCCCATGGTTGGCAAAACTGCAGTTTGTAAGACAAAAGGCTTATGGGAAAAATGGGGTTAGGGACTTGAATATGAACTATAAAGGAACATACAGTGTATAAAAATCACTTTTATTTACTTTTAATAGGGTAAATAAAGAAGCTGCTTGCTGCTGTTCCCCTGCTTCCCGCCCTGCTTCCCTCTCCCATGCCCTGGCATGTCAGGAAACAGGAACCACTGCTTGCCCCACACTGCCTTGGCAACACACCTCCTGAATGCAGGGCTGCAGCAAGGTCAGCAGCGAGGGGCTGCGCCCCTCAAAGCAGCAGCAGGCACAGGAGATGAGTCTCCAGGGCAGCAGGGGGGCCAGCAGTGGAGATCCCATGCGGCCCCACTGTCCCCAGCCATGCCAGGTTGTGCCCACCAGATGCTGGAGGCCCTGGAGGAGTCAAAGGAGGGTGGGAGCACCCCTGGTCCCCAGGACTGTGCAAGGTGGCAGGGAGCTTCCCTGCCCCAGCCCACAACAGGCAGCAGGCGGGAGCAGAGGCGGGGGAGCAAAACCGTGGATACTCAAAACTGTGGTTGGTGACAGAAACCTATAGATCATGCTGTAATAATTTATGTTGATAAATTTAGCTTGCATAAAACTAAACAATTGTGGAAGCTATATACTGCATTCGTTTTACAAACTGTTTAACAAACAAATGAAAATTAAAAGCACTGTTCAACAGTTATTTGTATTCCAAAAATGTGTAATTCTACATATAAAATGCCTCCCAGATTTGGTCAGGTCACAAAAATAGGCAAGAAAAAGGAAAAAATTCAAGTACAGGCTTATATCTGTACTGGTTTACCTATTAAATTGCTCCATCTGAGCTTCCTTCACTGATTTTTAATCTTTTACCCCAACAAAAATCTGGCTGTTATATGTGGCCTTTTCAACCTCTTACATTCTGCCATGAGTGCCCCAAGACTTCCTGAGGGATGCCCAGAAATGACAAGCACTATAAGTTACATGTAAGCAGTTCCTGCAATTGCCCTAACAGTGAGTGACAGGGTACTATAATTAAAGGGACAGTGAAGCAAGAATTCAGAAGCATGTACAACACTGTAATATAGACAGATATGAAATAAATGCAAGTCGGGGGGGGTTGTTAAACCCTTACAATTTTTCTGCATGCATTTTTTCAGAAACAATTCTACTCCAATTTACATAAGGCCAAAAATTCTAAACCATAAGGTATCATTTAAGTGGATGCAAAGGCAGGCAGAAAAATTAAGGAGACCATCAGAATATTACAGATTAAGACTATTTGACTAGCAAATTGGAACTGAGTCTTTATAAAAATTAATTGGCAAGCTAACAATGCTTCTAGCAACTTCTGTGACAGAAGCACGGACTATACACTATGCTAATGAATGCCACTAGTATAAAAAGTTGACCAATAAAACTGTAGGTTTCCAAAATAGACATCTTGGAATAGGGACAATTATTTTACCTCTATTACACAACATCAAAATACCTTAAAATATATATTTTTAAAAACTTACATGGGATATAAAAAGGGAGTCTCATTTAAGGTTTCAACTTTCAATTTCATACTTAGTTTTTTTAAGATCTATTGTTCACAGTACACAACTGCTTTGCAGAAGACTACGGAACCTTGATGGAATTTCAGTGGAGACAACGGCCATGCTAACAATCACAATGTAACTTTTTAGGCTGACTAAACTTTGTAGCATCCATTTAAGTAGTACCAATTTCTGCTAGCACCAATGAGCTTCATACGTATACAAATTTGCAGTAATCCTTGGTATACTACATATGAAGATGAAGTCATCAGCACCACAGATTACTCACGCAGTGAATCCATTAATCATGTGGGCGTATCGGAGTAACATAAGATCCAACCAGCCACATCTTCTTTTCCTACCAGTGGTCACACCAACCTCCTTACCTCGCGTTTGCAGTAATTCTCCAATTTCCTAATAAAAAAATAGAACATAACCATGTGAGACAATGCTATGTCTCACTGAATTAATAGTAACTTTGTACTTATGAACCACATTTGACCACAAACACAACACTGTTATAATCCTAATACCTCCCTATTACACAAAGACCCTGCCCTCCAGGACAAACCCCCCCACCCCAACAAAACACAGACAGGAAGGCAGGCATGCTATTTTCTCAAACATGGCATGCTGATTAAGCAGTGTAATGGCTATTTGTTGCCACAGAGCAATGCTGTGAAACAGGTCACTTGCCGTCAAACTACCAGCCCAGCAAATTCAGCTTCAGATAAAACTGGAAAGCAGTATCTCATGTGAAAAGGCAAACTATTTGTAATAAATAACACCTGCAATTGAACCTTTAGTTAAGGCAAGAAATAGCAGTGTATGCCTCATGTAAAATGCTAGGGTAAGTTTTGTACAGGTGACCACGTGCCCTTCACTGTCATAAGTATTACTGGTGAATATACAGAAGATGTGCCCAGCTGTTTTTCCACCTGTATGACACATTTAACATGAACAATGCTTACATTATTTTGTTCTGTAGGAAAGGCACCAATTCCAACTCTGGTCGTGTATGCTTTTACAACTCCATATACTTCCCCCACGTTCTGAGGTGGCATGCCCAGACCCGTGCAAACACCTCCAACTGTACAATTAGAAGAGGTCACAAAAGGATACGTCCCTATTAAAAAAAAAAGAGAAAAGAGAAAAAACTGAGGAGTATGATAGTGTTAAAACACAGAGCCATAAATTACTTATATGATAACCATGAAAATGGTATTGTGAATTTTGTAAGATTTCACTTAAACATTCAAAAAAAGTCATCAACAATAAACACACTCTGCAAATAAGTCTTCTTCATATTTATAAAGTTACTAGTACCCTGTTCACTTTGCCTGATCCAATTAAATCAAACTCGGTGGTAAAATTTTCTATTAACTGGCACAGGATTAAGCCCAGGCAAAATTTTGAGGAGTCATGCAAGCCATAAAAATTGGATGAAGTCATCAGAAAGCTCTGCTTCATTTTGCTACTGAAAAATACATTCACTCTGAGCAGAAATATGAGAACCTAAAGAGAGATTGTTGAGCAAAGGCTTTAGTAACATCTAAAGACAACAGAAATTTGCTGTCTTTTAAATTTGGTGTGGGGGCATGATACAAGTCAAATATATAGGACCAAAAGACCAGCTTCAGAGAAGGTTACTAACAGAACTCTGGCAAAAGTCATAAAACCTTCAGTCTTGGTTCAAGCGAAAGAGTTTTATTTTTTAACACAAAAATTAAATGTTATTTTAAGATGCATCTAGCATACATACTCCTTTCAAAAGACCTACAAAAGAGTATATCCCAAGGAGTCATTCACTGATGGGAATTTGGCTCTTAACAGAGGATTTAGTCCTCAATACAGAAACAAGATCTGGTTATCATGGTAAACCAAATATCTCTAAAAAAGTATCCAAAGCACTGAACAGCTAGGAAATCATTTTTAAGTTTGTACAGTTCTGGTGGAAAAATCACTTCCTGAAGGAATGTGACAAAAAAAAATTGCATTTGACTTGAGACTATGAATTCAAACTTCATCACATACTGATCTAGCTAAGAACTGAATGGTAAGAAGCCTCCTCTACTTGAGGCTTCAAAATAGGATTGGCAGGTGAGAAGTGTAAGAAAGGAGTCACAGCAAAAAGAACTAGAACTCAGACCACTTGGAAAAACTAAAGTATCCAGATAAATCTGCTGTGCTATGTTTTAATTAATCCTCAATATTCTTGTGTTTGTTTCTCAACAGCAGTATTTAAGCTGATTCTACAGGTGAGGAACACAGACAAGTAAGATGCCTCTGACTTACCTCATGGCTCAGGCTATGCCATAACAGTCACTGCAATGAACTTCTAGTTCCTAGTTGAGTATATTAATCTAACTTCACTCTCATCCACAATTTAACAGACTAACTTTTCACTGATACCCAAAGGAAACTAGAAAGACAACCCTGACACTACAATGGATGCATCCGAGAAACGGCAACAGAATCTTGAAGACTGTTCTGAACCATCATCACAGGCGTTAATGCCACGTCTAAAAACCATGCCACTATCCATCTATGCTAGAGCTGATGGCACCGAAGACAGCTTCATTCAGCATGTTTAACTCATATGCACTGCCTTTGAAAACTCCCCATAAACAGGAAGTTGAAATTATAAAACTTTCATGCCAGGCCAAACCAAGAACTTTTTAAAAAGTTTTTCAGATTTGTTAATATACAAACTTTTTCAATATCCAAGCCAACTAAAGTAAGGAAGCTGGTGTACACAACATTAAGAACTCCTGGTAGAAAACTTGGTTTGTTCGGGTTTTTTTTCCCCACTTGATTTCAAACACCTTCCCCCTTCATCTGAAAGGAAATTATTCTTCATTGTAGGCAGAGACTGTTGATATTTTAAAACTATTCCTCAACAGTTCGAATTTTTTTGTTTCAAGTTGTTAGGCTGGTAAGAAAAAAATCACAGGAGGAGAAATTATGTGAAAAAGGTTATTAAAAACTTCTTCTAAAAATTGTTAGAGCAATGAAGTGTTTACAGGACAGATTCAAGAAAGGGAAAGAGAACAGATGAAAGAAAAACAGGTCTACATGCAGTCCATATAAGTCATGCTCAGTCATGCTAACTACCTGTTGCCAACACAGAACTATAAAGGATTTATAAAGTGAATTCACAATGGAGAACAGCTGCTTTTATCAAGACACTTGTGTAATTTATTTTGGGAAAGAAATAGTATGCTTCAAGAAGAACCAAACCTTTTATATTTCAAGGCAAAGAAGAAACCATTTTATTTACACCTTGTTTCTTAATACAAGATTTTGAACTGAAGGAGTACAGAAATCTGAATCCCACTTTTGCTGCAAACTACTGAGTTGATGAAAATGAAGTACACACCCATAGATTTCTATAATATTAAAACCAAATTACCAAGATGTTTTTTAAAATTATTCATTTTAAGAGCTTCAAAACACTCCAGATTAATAATTTCTTAATATAAGGTTGTTTTCACTAGAACTCAAAGAAACTTTCATGGCACTAGAAACAAGCTTACTCAATTGTATTTTCATATTACTACATTGATTCATTTTCCTCTGTTCATCAGCTAAGTTAATTAATTTCTTATGTTACCACTCTTCCTTTAAAGATCAAAGTAGTAAGGGAAAACCTGGTATTTGTTTAGATGCATAAAAACGAAAAAGCTAAAAAAAAGAGCACTTATTTGTGCTTCAGGAATCAATGATCTAACTCTAAAAATCTAAACACTTAAAACAGCAGCAACACAATTCAATATATGTTGCCTTCAGCAAAATAAGCAATTCAAAAGGGCACACACTCCAACAATTGTTCAAGGAAAGAAAAAGGTTTTCATTGCATTATGAAACCGAGTTATAGTATTTTGGATGATGGGTTTGAGAAAGTTTCCAAATTGTGATAATTTCTCAGAGAGAATGTATTCACAGCAGTTCTTCAGGGTCTGCAGACAAAATCCATGCAGCACGGCATGGGGAAAGAGTTCTTTTAGTAAGACGCATCCTAAATGAGCATCTTAAATTTTACAGAGATACAGGTTTGTCAGCCTCTCTATTTGAAAGTTGTTTTACTGATCTACACTCAATGTATCTTTACAGTAATGTGTTTGGATACCTTACTATTACTAAAATGCTCATGAAGCGTTTTGCATAACTGTTCCACAAATACAAACCTTGAAATATAAAACTATAAATGCTAAGAAGAGCTTTCAATACCTTGGGCTTTTTAAATTTATATGCTACAGTTCTGTTAGTCAACTATACGCCAAATAGTTTGTCATCTGTATTAGAAATACTCTATGCTAAATTAACCTTAAAATTAAAATGATGATGCAAATGCTTCTCTCATACATACGCACAATTTTACTGACTTTCAAAAAGTTTCCCAAATTTAACACCTCATTTTCACAGGCCCGGAGTCAAAAACCAAACATGCAAATCACTTAATGTCCTCCTTCCCCCATCTCCCAACAGAATCTGACTTTAAATACAAAGGCTAGGGCTTCTCCATAATACTGTACAAGCATACTGCTTTCACAACAGACCTATGGACAGTTCCTGGAAAACAAAGCTATACCTACCAAAATCAATGTCCAGTAGTGCTGCATTTGCACCCTCTACCAAGATTTTCTTTGGCGGTCCATGCAGAGCTTCATACATGAAATAAACACCATCCCGCACCATTGGCTTAACTCTTTCCATGTAGCCCTAAGTAACACAAACAGTATTTTAAACATTGGATTTAATTTGCAAGTTATAAAACCAAAGTAAATAAGTGTAGGTTTAATATCTAGTATATACCAGTTATAAAAAATTCACTGCGATAAAGCCAGCCAGAGAACTCAAGAGTACCACTCTGCTGTGTAAGAAATCAGGTTTGGTTTTCTAAGTGTTATTATTGCCTATACTGACAACCCACTCATTCCTTTGGCATGTGGAAAGCAGAGAGAAGAAAGCAATGCTAAATAAATACATTAAGAAGAAATTCCTTCTAGACAATTCTAAAGATATTAAGCAGCTGCAGAAGGAAGCCCACCCAAGTCCTTTCTGACCAGGAAGATACGGCTGCTATGCGCTGGTAACAAGAATGGGGAACCTTAGGATTTGTGGTTTGGACATGGAGCAGGGGTTGTCAACCCTGGGGGTACTTGGGCAAGCCTTAGGGGGTACATGTGGCCAGGCACATGGGAACACAGCTTCACTGAACACCACTGCCTCCCAGGAACAGTGACCACAGCCTTGACCGCAGCCACCCACCACCCCACACTGCCACCGTTCCATGTCCAGCCACTGGGGGTACATTTATTAAAAAGAGTTGAAAACCCCTGACAGAGGCCATCTCCCTAGAAGGAAAAAGAAGAATAAGCAACAGAGGAAAAATTTTGGAGGATCCCAGGACTCGTGACAAGAACACCTGGGCTCTGGTAGGGAGTGGGAGACTAATTTGCACATGCATCCTTTAGTGGGGGATGGGGGAGATAGTATCTGGAGTACACATTTACTAAGTCTTTCAGATTTGGACTAGTATCATGCATAGTTTATAAGTGCTGCTTAAAACTTTGTTTATACAGAGTACCTGTGTTAAAACCTGTAGCAGCTTCAAAGAGCTAAAATTAATCAATTGTGGCTGAACTAAGTCCATGGATACCCATAGTAATTTGCCTATGTGCAAATGACTACAGGCATGCTTATTTCAAAGCCACTGGGTGTGTCTACATGTATGCTTTAAGGCGCAGCAGTCTATTTGAATGCACATTAAAGGATGCACAAAAAACCGTGCTATTACACAAATGCACAGTAAAATAGGTTACTGCACATTCAGTGTCACTTAAAAATCATACACTCACACTGGAGGTACTAAATTTTATGCCCATTAGGAAAAGCACATTAATGCACACGTAAACACACACACCGTTTTCAAATTTGCTTCATTTCCACGTGCAAGGTAGGGGGAGGGGTAGAGTGCAAGGGGGCTACCTTACCCCCCTTAGATTTATTTTCCCTGATGTAGCACTGGGAGGGGGACATATTCAAGGCAAACCTCCAATTATTCTACTCTATACCTAGAAAATTATAACAAATTTATAAATCTTATATTCAGGATCATCTTATATTAAAGTAAACACTGTACCTTCAAATTCCCTTACTCTATAGTAAGAAACCTGAAGTAGCAGTTGTACTCTAACCGTACACAATTCCTTTAGTTTATAATAGCCTTCCTGAAGGAGAATACTCCAAAAAGAATGCGGTGTCAACAAAGACAGTCTTCTTAAAATAAGAATTAGCAGCCTTTAAATTATGGATACCAATCTCAGATTCATGAGAGCCATTTTGAAAGAAACTTCTCACACTGAAATATGACCATTACTAAAAACAGAAATTGTCTTACCTTGAGTTTTTTCAATTCCCCTTCAATATCTATCTCCAAGATAGGATATATTGCTTTGTACTGATTGGCTAACAGTTTGAACCTGAAATACAAGAAATTATCTTTTAAATGTTTTTGACAAAAACATTTTAGACTCAGTTTGCCACACCTTGAACCCCTTGATATAAAACTATTTTGTGAATACACCATAAAAAGGAAAATTCAGAGGCATTCATTTAAGACATTTTAAAATACAGAAATCCCATCTACAAGTAGAACATACCAAAATATACTATTACTGCAACCAAAACACTGTTGGCCTTTTTACAAATAGACATATCCAATATCTAGAGGTTATGCTGGAAAACATACATTTCAAATATAAAAATTACCTTTCAGAAAACTCATCAAAATCAGAAACAAGATCACACATTCTGAGTCCACTTCGAGCTGCTTTTGAAGAATAGACTGGACCAATCCCTTTTTTTGTAGTTCCCAAACTTTCAAAAAAGTAAAAACGATAAGTTATTCTCAAAATTAGACTGAAAATTAATTTTAAAAGCAAATCATGTTATGAGTAACGCAGTTTCATTCTTAACATATACTAAATATATTTTTGCTTACTTTTAATTGTTTTCACATTTTAATACGAACCCCCATTTCAAAACATTCATACCTGTTTGTGAATACAGGTTTCTCACTTTCCCATATATTAAAAAAAAAAAAGTATTTTTTTCTGCTTGACCTACATGTCTTTCTAAATGAAAATGTACTGATAGTTGCTTCTCCAAGTGTATGGTCAAGGAAATAAATCTGCTGTCATCCCTTGATGATGTAAATGGAGATTAACAAGCAGGACTATTTTTTAAAGTTTTCATACATCTAGGAGGAAGAAAATCCTCAGAAAGGAAAACTGTACAAAGGATCTTCCTCTAAAGTGATGGAAAACGAAGGACTGCCTTAAAATACACATATGGAAACTTTCTTTTGAATACTATATTCCACATAGAAACCAGGAGAGCACAAACTTTGCTCAGCGTAGGAGTCGTTCATATCTAAAACGTTCAAGATTGGAATATAAATGGACATATGCTACTGCTATAATCTGAAAATTTGAACAACTCATTCAAGGAAATAAGATATTAGAACAGTTTTTTGCTGAAACTGGAGGCAGAAAAATCACCAAGCTAACAGCATCACAACAGACAATTATTTTTGGTCTCCCCTGATATCAGAAAGGAAATACCATTTCAACCTTGATCTATTGAGAAGAATGAGAAAGAAGCTAATAAATCTGCAGTCTGTATAAAGCACAGGCCACAGTTACATATCACATAATCCTGAAGATGGCTAAGTAACTCTATGTTTGATTTCCAAGAAGGGCT